GTTGGAGGGTTGGAGGGTTGGAGGGTTGGAGGGTTGGAGGGTTGGAGGGTTGGAGGGTTGGAGGGTTGGAGGGTTGGAGGGTTGGAGGTTGGAGGGTTGGAGGGTTGGAGGGTTGGAGGGTTGGAGGGTTGGAGGGTTGGAGGGTTGGAGGGTTGGAGGGTTGGAGGGTTGGAGGGTTGAGGGTTGGAGGGTTGGAGGGTTGTTGGGTTGGAGGGTTGGAGGGTTGGAGGGTTGGAGGGTTGGAGGGTTGGAGGGTGGAGGGTTGGAGGGTTGGAGGGTTGGAGGGTTGGAGGGTTGGAGGGTTGGAGGGTTGGAGGGTTGGAGGGTTGGGGGTTGGAGGGTTGGAGGGTTGGAGGTTTGGAGGGTTGGAGGGTTGGAGGGTTGGAGGGTTGGAGGGTTGGAGGTTGGAGGGTTGGAGGGTTGGAGGGTTGGAGGGTTGGAGGGTTGGAGGGTTGGAGGGTTGGAGGGTTGGAGGGTTGGAGGGTTGGAGGGTTGGAGGGTTGGAGGGTTGGAGGGTTGGAGGGTTGGAGGGTTGGAGGGTTGGAGGGTTGGAGGGTTGGAGGGTTGGAGGGTTGGAGGGTTGGAGGGTTGGAGGGTTGGAGGGTTGGAGGGTTGGAGGGTTGGAGGGTTGGAGGTTGGAGGGTTTGGAGGGTTGGAGGGTTGGAGGGTTGGAGGGTTTGGAGGGTTGGAGGGTTGGAGGGTTGGAGGGTGTGGAGGGTTGGAGGGTTGGAGGGTTTGGAGGGTTGGAGGTGAGGGTGGAGGTTGGAGGGTTGGAGGGTTGGAGGGTTGGAGGGTTGGAGGGGTTGGAGGTTGGAGGGTTGGAGGGTTGGAGGGTTGGAGGGTTGGAGGGTTGGAGGGTTGGAGGGTTGGAGGGTTGGAGGTTGGAGGTTGGAGGGTTGGAGGGTTGGAGGGTTGGGGGGTTGGAGGGTTGGAGGGTTGGAGGGTTGGAGGGTTGGAGGGTTGGAGGGTTGGAGGGTTGGAGGTTGGAGGGTTGGAGGGTTGGAGGGTGGAGGGTTGGAGGGTTGGAGGGTTGGAGGGTTGGAGGGTTGGAGGGTTGGAGGGTTGGAGGGTTGGAGGGTTGGAGGGTTGGAGGGTTGGAGGGTTGGAGGGTTGGAGGGTTGGAGGGTTGGAGGGTGGAGGTTGGAGGGTTGGAGGGTGGAGGGTTGGAGGGTTGGAGGGTTGGAGGGTTGGAGGGTTGGAGGGTTGGAGGGTTGGAGGGTTGGAGGGTTGGAGGGTTGGAGGGTTGGAGGGTTGGAGGGTTGGAGGGTTGGAGGGTTGGAGGGTTGGAGGGTTGGAGGGTTGGAGGGTTGGAGGGTTGGAGGGTTGGAGGGTGGAGGGTTGGAGGGTTGGAGGGTTGGAGGGTTGGAGGGTTGGAGGGTTGGAGGGTTGGAGGGTTGGAGGTTGGGTTGGAGGGGTTGGAGGGTTGGAGGGTTGGAGGGTGGAGGGTTGGAGGGTTGGAGGGTTGGAGGGTTGGAGGGTTGGAGGGTTGGAGGGTTGGAGGGTTGGAGGGTTGGAGGGTTGGAGGGTTGGAGGGTTGGAGGGTTGGAGGGTTGGAGGGTTGGAGGGTTGGAGGGTTGGAGGGTTGGAGGGTTGGAGGGTTGGAGGGTTGGAGGGTTGGAGGGTTGGAGGGTTGGAGGGTTGGAGGGTTGGAGGGTTGGAGGTTGGAGGGTTGGAGGGTTGGAGGGTTGGAGGGTGGAGGGTTGGGGGTTGGAGGGTTGGAGGGTTGAGGGTTGGAGGGTTGGAGGGTTGGAGGGTTGGAGGGTTGGAGGGTTGGAGGGTTGGAGGGTTGGAGGGTTGGAGGGTGGAGGGTTGGAGGGTTGGAGGGTTGGAGGGTGGAGGGTTGGAGGGTTGGAGGGTTGGAGGGTTGGAGGGTTGGAGGGTTGGAGGGTTGGAGGGTTGGAGGGTTGGAGGGTTGGAGGGTTGGAGGGTTGGAGGGTTGGAGGGTTGGAGGTTGGAGGGTTGGAGGGTTGGAGGGTTGGAGGGTTGGAGGGTTGGAGGGTTGGAGGGTTGGAGGGTTGGAGGGTTGGAGGGTTGGAGGGTTGGAGGGTTGGAGGGTTGGAGGGTTGGAGGGTTGGAGGGTTGGAGGGTTGGAGGGTTGGAGGGTTGGAGGTTGGAGGGTTGGAGGGTTGGAGGGTTGGAGGTTGGAGGGTTGGAGGGTTGGAGGGTTGGAGGGTTGGAGGGTTGGAGGGTTGGAGGGTTGGAGGGTTGGAGGGTTGGAGGGTTGGAGGGTTGGAGGGTTGGAGGGTTGGAGGGTTGGAGGGTGGAGGGTTGGAGGGTTGGAGGGTTGGAGGGTTGGAGGGTTGGAGGGTTGGAGGGTTGGAGGGTTGGAGGGTTGGAGGGTTGGAGGGTTGGAGGGTTGGAGGGTTGGAGGGTTGGAGGGTGGGGGTTGGAGGGTTGGAGGGTTGGAGGGTTGGAGGGTTTGGAGGGTTGGAGGGTTGGAGGGTTGGAGGGTTGGAGGGTTGGAGGGTGGAGGGTTGGAGGGTTGGAGGGTTGGAGGGTTGGAGGGTTGGAGGGTTGAGGGTTGGAGGGTTGGAGGGTTGGAGGGTTGGAGGGTTGGAGGGTTGGAGGGTTGGAGGGTTGGAGGGTTGGAGGGTGGAGGGTTGGAGGGTTGGAGGGTTGGAGGGTTGGAGGGTTGGAGGGTTGGAGGGTTGGAGGGTTGGAGGTTGGAGGGTTGGAGGGTTGGAGGGTTGGAGGGTTGGAGGGTTGGAGGGTTGGAGGGTTGGGGGGTTGGAGGGTTGGAGGGTTGGAGGGTTGGAGGGTTGGAGGGTTGGAGGGTTGGAGGGTTGGAGGGTTGGAGGGTTGGGGTTGGAGGGTTGGAGGGTTGGAGGGTTGGAGGGTTGGAGGGGTTGAGGGTTGGAGGGTTGGAGGGTTGGAGGGTTGGAGGGTTGGAGGGTTGGAGGGTTGGAGGGTTGGAGGGTTGGAGGGTTGGAGGGTTGGAGGGTTGGAGGGTTGGAGGGTTGGAGGGTTGGAGGGTTGGAGGGTTGAGGGTTGGAGGGTTGGAGGGTTGGAGGGTTGGAGGGTTGGAGGGTTGGAGGGTTGGAGGGTTGGAGGGTGGAGGGTTGGAGGTTGGAGGGTTGGAGGGTTGGAGGGTTGGAGGGTTGGAGGGTTGGAGGTTGGAGGGTTGGAGGGTTGGAGGGTTGGAGGGTTGGAGGGTTGGAGGGTTGGAGGGTTGGAGGGTGGAGGGTTGGAGGGTTGGAGGGTTGGAGGGTTGGAGGGTTGGAGGGTGGAGGGTTGGAGGGTTGGAGGGTGGAGGGTTGGAGGGTTGGAGGGTTGGAGGGTTGGAGGGTTGGAGGGTTGGAGGGTTGGAGGGTTTGGGGTTGGAGGGTTGGAGGGTGGAGGGTTGGAGGGTTGGAGGGTTGGAGGGTTGGAGGGTTGGAGGGTTGGAGGGTTGGAGGGTTGGAGGGTTGGAGGGTTGGAGGGTTGGAGGGTTGGAGGGTTGGAGGGTTGGAGGGTTGGAGGGTTGGAGGGTTGGAGGGTTGGAGGGTTGGAGGGTGGAGGGTTGGAGGGTTGGAGGGTTGGAGGTTGGAGGGTTGGAGGGTTGGAGGGTTGGAGGGTTGGAGGGTTGGAGGGTTGGAGGGTTGGAGGGTTGGAGGGTTGGAGGGTTGGAGGGTTGGAGGGTTGGAGGGTTGGAGGGTTGGAGGGTTGGAGGTTGGAGGGTTGGAGGGTTGGAGGGTTGGAGGGTTGGAGGGTTGGAGGGTTGGAGGGTTGGGAGGGTTGGAGGGTTGGAGGGTTGGAGGGTTGGAGGGTTGGAGGGTTGGAGGGTTGGAGGGTTGGAGGGTGGAGGGTTGGAGGGTTGGAGGGTTGGGAGGGTTGGAGGGTTGGAGGTTGGAGGGTTGGAGGGTTGGAGGGTTGCGGGTTGGAGGGTTGGAGGGTTGGAGGTTGGAGGGTTGGAGGGTTGGAGGTTGGAGGGTTGGAGGGTTGGAGGGTTGGAGGGTTGGAGGGTTGGAGGGTTGGAGGGTTGGAGGGTTGGAGGGTTGGAGGGTTGGAGGGTTGGAGGGTTGGAGGGTTGGAGGGTTGGAGGGTTGGAGGGTTGGAGGGTTGGAGGGTTGGAGGGTTGGAGGGTTGGAGGGTTGGAGGGTTGGAGGGTTGGAGGGTTGGAGGGTTGGAGGGTTGGAGGGTTGGAGGGTTGGAGGGTTGGAGGGTTGGAGGGTTGGAGGGTTGGAGGGTTGGAGGGTTGGAGGGTTGGAGGGTTGGAGGGTTGGAGGGGCTGCATGGACTTCTAGGTGGGCACTGAAGGCAGCATGAGTTGGTGAGGATTGATCGCCCTGTGATTTGCTGTGCATTCCCACACTCGCCATTCACCTCAACAGGTGAGCGTGCGTGGTGGGGCTGTCATGAGTGGATAGGGCCTGTGGGGATTCTTTATTCGACTCAGGTCAGAGGCAGCATGGGCTGCTGCGGATTGGCTGCCCTGTGCTATGGTGGGTGGGAGGGATGCGCCACGCACTTAATTCACCTGGAGTCTGGACACCTGCACTCTCTGTGCCCTCTCGCCTGCGTGCCTGTCTCACGTGCCCTAGTCTCATGTCACCTCCCATGCTCTCACTTGCCCTACTCCTCCCGTCACTAACAGGGAGGTGAACACGAGTGGGTTCAAGACCAACACTCAGACGCACCTGCTGCCCGTGCTCGTACCAGTGCTCGCCACTGCCAAGAGCGTTCCTCTGCTGCCCTGCCGCTCCTCCTCTTCTCCTCCGCTGTTCCTTCCACTTACCTTACCTCCCACATCCCTGTCTCACATACCTTGTGTTCCCGTCACTCACAGGGAGGTGAACACGAGTGGGTTCAAGCCCAACACTCAGACGCACCTGCTGCCCGTGCTCGCCACTGCCATCAAGGTCCGTTGCTCCCCCCCCTCTCAACCCCTCCTCTCAATTAGTCGCCATTCATCTCCTCCCCTCACCCAGCTGCTCTCCTCACCTCCTCATCTCACCTGCTCCCCTCACCCGCTCGGCTCGCATATGGACCTTGCTCGTTTCGCCCCACTGCGTTTGCCACAGGAGGAGTTGAACCGACCTGCGCCCGCGAGTGAGAGTGGTGGCAAGGAGGGCGAGGGCAAAGAGAAGGGCAAGGGGAAGAAGGATGAGGTCGCTGAGAGGCATCACCCGCTGCTGCTGCAGGTGAGGTGACCTTTGAGTCGATTCAAAAGTGAGGGTGGGGGTAGTGGCAAGGAAGGGGTGGGGAGAAAGGAAAGAAGCAAGGGGAAGAAGGAGGAGAGTCTGGAGAGGCATCACCTGCTGCTGCTGCTGCTGCAGGTGAGGCGGCGGAACGAGTCCATGTGATAAGATGTGCTGCTCCAAGTGCTCGAATGCGTGTGATGCATTTGGTGCTTGTGATATGCGTGTAACTCCCTCTCTCCTATCTTGCATACCTCTCTCTTCCCTCGCAATCCTCGCTCCTCCCTCTCACACTGCAGCTCCTGGCATCGGAGCTAGGCTGCTCCCCAGCATCGATAGCAGACTTCGACCTACAGCTGTGCGACACACACCCCAGCGCTATTGCTGGTGCGCTCAACGAGTTTGTCTTCTCTGGCCGCCTTGACAACCTCGCCTCCTCCTTCGCTGCCCTCCAGGTACTTCCAAATCGAGTTTGTAGGCATCTTTGAACAGGTTCTTTAACGTGTTACTGGTAGACTTTATAGGTAGTTCCTGCCTCGCTGGTGCTCTGCTCTTCTCTCAACGATTTCCTCTCCTCTGGCCCCCTCGCAACCTCGCATACTCCTTCACTGCCCTCCAGGTACCTGATTGAACTGTGCTTTTGTGTCGTGTGCCATGGTAACGAGGTGACTTTTGAGTCGACTCAAAAGTACCTGATTGAACTGTGCTTTTGTGTCGTGTGCCATGGTAACGAGGTGACTTTTGAGTCGACTCAAAAGTACCTGATTGAACTGTGCTTTTCTTATCCGTTGCGCACACATCAATCCCACCTGTTTCTCCCTCCTCCCTGCACTGTTGGCAGAAGGAGAAAGTGAGAGTGAGAGCGAGGAGGTGGAGGGTGGGGTGCGCATGGTGCTGCTGTTTAACAACGAGGAGTGTGGCAGCGACTCTGCTTTGAGACGTCTCAAAACACTTCTTCATTCACGAGGAGTGTGGCAGCGACTCCTAATGGTGAATCCCACCCCACCGCCCTTCCTCCTACCCTCCTTTCTCCTCATTCCTACAGGCACTACTAGCGGCAGGGGAGGGGAAGAGCGAGAGCGAGGAGGCAGAGAGTGGCGTGCGAATGGTGTTGCTGTTCGACAACGAGGAGTGCGGCAGCGATTCATGATAGTCCCTTTTTCCCGTTTTGAGATGTCTCAAAACATCATTTCTCCCTCCGTTCTTTGTCCTGCAGGCACTACTAGCGGCAGGGGAGGTGGGGAGTGAGAGCGAGGAGGCGGAGGGTGGCGTCCGCATGGTGCTGCTGTTTGACAATGAGGAGTGTGGCAGCGACTCATGGTGTTGCTGTTTGACAATGAGGAGTGTGGCAACGACTCATGGTGGTGAACTTGACCCCAACCCCTCCTTTCCCCGCTTTCTCCACCCCCGGGCGCTCTATGTCCTCCTTTCCTCCCTACAGGCACTGTTGGCAGCAGGAGAGAGTGAGAGTGAGAGTGAGGAGGCGGAGGGAGGCGTGAGCATGGTGCTGCTGTTTGACAACGAGGAGTGTGGCAGCGACTCTGCTCAGGGTGCTGGCTCCCCTCTGCTGCTCGATGCCATTCGCCGCGTCAATGCTGCCACAGGCACTGCTGCTGCGTCGCCTTCTGAGGTGAGGGGTGAGAGGACAGTGAGGGGAATGCGAGTCGCTCTGCTTCACTCCGTTTGACTTCGTTTGACTCCGTTTGATTCCGTTTGAATTTGTTTGACTCCGTTTGATTCCGTTTGAATTTGTTTGACTCCGTTTGACTTCGTTTGACTCCGTGTGACTCCGCTCAGGAGGGCGCTGGCTTCCTCTGCTGCGTGACTCCATTCGCTGGGTCAATGCTGCCATTGCTGTGCCAGCCTCAACCGGAAACCCTGGTGCCATGCCGTGCCGTGCTGTGCTGTGCCGTGCTGTGCCGTGCCATGCCATACCATCCCATCCCATCCCACTCGACCCCACCGCACCCCACCGCATGGCAGGGAGTGGTGGAGCGCTCTCTCCAGAAGAGCTTCGTGGTGTCAGCAGACATGGCACACTGCCACCACCCCAACTACCCCGTCAGTGCCCTCCCTATCTTCTATTGCCTCGCTACCCCCCCTCCTGGGTCTGTCAGTGCCTTGCTTACCTCCCTAGCCTCACTAGCCCCCCTCCCGAGCCTCGTTTCCTCTGCCTACTGTGTCAGCGGACATGGCACACTGCCACCACCCCAACTACCCTGTCAGTGCCCTCCCTAGCCCGATCCGGATCCGTTTCCAAGTCGTCTCACGTTTCCTTCTTCCCTTTCATTCGAAAATGTTGATGTTGTCAGCAGCCATGGCGCACTGCCACCATCCTAACTGCCCCATCAGTGCCCTCGTGAGCTTCGCTCGTCTTTTCATACTTGCTTGGTAAAGGAGTGAGCTGTATTGTCAGGCAAGGCACGTTGTCCCCACCCTATCGATACCCTCCTTAATACTCCTCATCCTCCCCTTGCTGGTGGTTACATTCCCCTCTTCTTCTTCTCAACGAGTCAATGAGCAATGGCATTTTCCTTTCGCTTTCCAACCGCCCCCCCCCCCTTATACAAACAGGAGAGGCACGAGGAGCTACACCAACCGAAGATGCACAAAGGGCTGGTGATCAAACGCAAGGGGGATTCCATTCACCTCCCCCAACGTCCTCCCCTCCCCCCCCGTTTGTGAGCAGGAGAGGCACGAGGAGCTGCACCAGCCCAAGATGCACAAGGGGCTGGTGATTAAACACAACGCCATTTCCATTCACCTGCACCCGTACCGTGCCACCCCCTCCCCCCCCCTCCCCCTCCCATCCAACAGGAGAGGCACGAGGAGCTGCACCAGCCGAAGATGCACAAGGGGTTGGTGATCAAGCACAACGCCAACCAGCGCTACGCCACCACTGCTGTCACGGCTGCTCTCTTCCGCGAGCTGGCCACATGCCACGGCATTCCCGTGCAGGTGAGGCGAGCACAGGCTTTGTTAGTGGCCAGCTGAGGCAGGGATCTACAGGTGCTACAGCAACGCACAGCACCACCACTGCTGTCACTGCTGCTCTCTTCCGCGAATTTGCCACGTGCCATGGCATCCCTGTGCAGGTGAGGAGAGAGAGGGTGAGGGAGTGAGTGACCTCATGCTGGCAAGCAACGGTCACCTGGTGGCGCTGTGACATGCCATGCCACCACTGCTGTCACCATGTATTGAGGCGCCTCAAAAACCACCACTGCTTTCACCGATTTTTGAGGCGCCTAAAAAACCACCACTGCTGTCACCGCCGCTCCTTTCCACAAAATTGACACGTGCCACGGCATCCCAATGCAGGTGAGCAGCAGCTTTGAGTGAGATTTGCATTTGGCACAGTGTGGGACCCCTCATTGCTGCCACACTCAACCCCTCCCTTCCCGCCTCCTTACCTTCCCACCCCTCCACCCCTTCCACCCTTCCCGCCCCTCCCACCCCCACCATCCAGGACTTCGTGGTGCGCAACGACACGGGGTGTGGCAGCACCATCGGGCCGATCCTCGCCTCAGGAGCCGGAATCCGCACAGTAGACGTGGGGGCGCCTCAGCTATCGATGCACAGCATCCGCGAGATGTGTGGCACGGATGACATTGGGCATATGGTCAACCATTTCACGGCATTCTTCAAGGATTTCCCCTCTCTAGATGCTCGTCTGACCGTGGACTAGAGTGAAGGGTGAAGGGGGAGAGGGGAGGGGGGCTTAGGGGGCACCTTAACTGTCAGTGCACAACCAACCTTTGGGAAAAAGTGCTCAACCACATCACTGCATTCTGCCAAGACTTCCCCCTCTTGGATGGTCTGAGCATAGACCTTACATGCAGTGGAGTGGAATACTCGGTGAGGAGGGCAACAGAAACAGATAATCAACCTTCATTACTTCACCATTTGAGGCGCCTCCACTGTAGACAGTTGTGTGCAGGGCAGCAAAAAGTGTCTTGCAAGCAGTGAGACGTGACGTCAACTTATGGCTCACTAAAGGAAGATTCCCCAGAGAACAGATTGGTTTTGCAACCAGCATCAGTGCAGGACTAAGGGCAAAGATGTGGATGTTAAAGAGGTGTAGTGCTAATGAGCAGTGATATTACTGTATTCCATCTACCAAAACCAGATGCCAATTATTCCATGTACCACCACAATCAGATCCCTGATTTGAGCCACTCCCAACCAGATAAGCTAGTAACACAAAGGCGTTGCCTTGCCCCTAGTGCATAGAATCCCGCACCGCGCCCACCCATTCTACCGTAACGCCTGCCCACCCACCCACCTGCCCACCCCAAAGCAGCCTCTCACCAAGTAACCCAACATCTCACCCACCCACTCACGCCAAGATCTGATCAGGCGAACATTCCTTGACTCTCTCCAACCCAATCCAGGAGAACCATCTCCTGGATCAGATCTTGGATCGATCCGACCATCTCCTGGATCACCTTCTGGAGATGGTCTGTCAGTAAGCAACAAGCAGCACCCCTCTGATTCATCGCCCAACTGCCCCCCTCCTTGGCCCATGCCTCACCATGCCTGATCCATCTCTCTCTTGCAGCAACCCTCCTATTTCATCGCCTAACCAGCCCACGTCTCTCCCTTTCTGGCCACGCTAATCCCATCTCTCACTCAGCAGCAGCAGACCTCCGATGACGCTTCTTCCCCCTTACCAGCAGCCCTCCCTAGCAGCACTCAACTGCTTGGGCACTCCACTCGTCCGCCTATGTGATAGCCAAACAGCTCCCTCCCACGTTTGAGCCTGGCAAGTACCATCTTTACTTATCAGCAGCAGCAGCCCTCCTACTCGACCGCCTGACCACTCCACTTGCTCCCCCTGTCCCCCCTCTACCTCCCCTCTTCACAGGACTTGCCCCTCCCCTCCCCCTGCCTCCTCTCGGCACGGGACTCGCTTCCCCTCTTGCGCCCTTCCCCCTTCCTACTGGGCGAGTTTCCCTGCTTTCAACCGCTCTCGCTTTCGCCCCTCGGCCCCTACCCCTTCTCTGCCTTCCTCCCTGCTCCGATTTCTTCTCTTTCTCTTCCACCTCTACCTCCACCTCTTCCTCCTCACTTTCAAGATCAACCACATTCTCCTCGTCGTCGTCGTCGTCCTCCTCCTCGTCCTCTGATGCAAGGTCAACCATCTCTCCCATCACCCTAACCTCCTCCACCCCCTCATCCTCCTCCCCTTCCTCCTCTTCCTCCTCCCCCTCCTCCTCCACCTCCACTACCGTTTTCCCCTTCCCTCCACGACCCCGCCCACGCCCTCTCAACCGCACCCCTCTCCCCCGTCCCCCTCCCCGTGCCACTACCACATCAATCTTCCTCCTTCCTCCCCAACCCCTACCAGGTGACAGCACCCCTCCTCCCCGAGCCGCTATCACATCACTCTTCCTCCTTCCCGCGCTCCTTCCAGGTGTCTGCCTGAGGCCACCCCCCGGGGTACCCACCACAAACCCCACGTGTCGATCACCCGCCTCTCCCTGCCTCCCGCCTCTCAGGGCACTCACAAGACTGCCCCTTCCCCTTCCTCTGCCCCTCCCCCTTACTCCTCCCCTCCCTCTTGCACCGGCTCTCCCACCCCTTGAGGCGACACCCGCAACAGATTCCCCAGACGAAGAAGCAGCAGCAACATCATCGTCACTGCCAGAAGCAGCGGCAGGGGAAGCAGCAGCAGCAACAGCAGCAGGAGGAGGGGAAACAGCTGCAGTTGCTCTCTTCGCCCGGGTCTTCCTTGAAGCACCAGCAGTACCAGCAGCAGCAGGACGCCGAGCAGGAGTCACAACCAGCTCAACCACTCCATCCTCCTCATCCTCCGCCTCCTTTTGCTTCTCATCAGCTGTTGCTGCTGCTGATCCTGCGGCACGGGCAGTGACAGCATTGAGAGACGCAAATGTGGGTGCTACACCCTGTCGTCTTGTTTGCCGCGCTCCTCTCCTACTGCTTGCACCCACATCCGCCTCAGGCATATCCATCTTCCCCGCATCTGCCTTTTCTGCACCCGCCTTCCCTGCTTTTCCCATCCGAGCGCCAGTTTCCTTTCCTGCAGGTTCTGCAGTGACTCTCCTTGCCCTCCCAGCCGCCCTGCCTCGAGTGCTCCTGGTGCTCGCCACTTCAACCACCTCCGCTATATCATCAGCATCGGCAGAAAGGGCAGCAGAGGCAACAGCAACAGGAGAAGGGGCAGCGGCAGTTGCAGCAGGGGCAGGGCTAGTGGCCACACCAGGCTCTCCCCGACGCCTTCTCTTGCCCAGCCCACTCTCTTCGTCCTCTCCCTTACTCGCTTCAGCTGCCTTTCCTGACTCTCCAGCACCCCTTTTCCTGCCCCGCCTTGCTCCAGCTGCTGTTGCCTTGTCACTCTCTTCTGCTGCTGCAGCAGCTGGTGCCTCAACTGCCGCTGCTGCTGGCTCAGCTGCTGCTGCTGCCCCTCGAGCTGCTCTAGTCCTTGCCCCTCTTCCCCCTCGCCCTCTCCTTCCTCTTCCTCCCCTTCCACCCCCACGCCCACCAGAAACCCCTGCGACCACTTCACCCACCTCTTCAACCCCCTCCCCACCTTTCCCTGCCTCAACCGCTTCCATCTCTCCCACCACTTGCACCTCCTCCTCCTCTTCCTCGTCCCACGTCACTTCTGCTGCCGTAGCTGCTGCTGGCTCTGTTGTTTTCTTTGCTCCTCTTGCCCTGACCCCTGCCCCTCTCCCTCCTCGTCCTCCTCTTCCACGTCCTCCATTTCCTCTTCCTCCCCTTCCACCCCCACGCCCACCAGAAACCCCTGCTTCCACTTCCCCCAGCTCCCGAACCCCCTCCACATCTTTCCCCACCTCAACTACTCCCACCTCAACTACTCCCACCTCAACTACTCCCACCTCTCCCACCACTTGCACTTCTTCCTCTTCTTCCTCCAACGCCGTCACTTCTGCTGCCGCACATGCTGCTGCTGCTGCAGCTGCTGCTGGCTCAGTCGCGTTCTTTGCTCCTGGAGCCCTGATCCCTGCCCCTCTCCCCCTTCGCAATTTCCCCCCTCGCAATCTCATCCCTCGTCCTCCCCTTCCACGCCCACGCCCACCAGAAACCCCAGCTTCCACTCCCCCCACCTCTTGAACCCCCTCCACTGCTCTTCCAACTGCTCCCTCCTCTCCCTCCTCTTCCGCCTCTCCCTCCTCTCCCAACACTTGCACCTCCTCCTCCTCTTCCTCCTCCTTCGCCACAGTTGCTGCTGCTGCTGGCTCAGTTGCTTTCTTTTTTCCTCGTGCCCTCATTCCTGCTCCTCTTCCCCCGCGCCCTCTCTGTCCTCTTCCCCCCCTCCCACCACCAGACGCAGGAGTCCCCACTGCTTGCACTTCCACTTCCACCTCCCTTTCTCGCACATCTCCCACCTCTGCCACCCCCTCTAAAGACTTCCTTCCTCGACTTCCCCTTCCTCCCCTTCCTCCCCTTCCTCCTCTACCTCCTCTTCCTCCCCTTCCCCCCCTCCCACCACTGCGGCCACCAGACCCCCCTCCATCCACTCCCACTTCCCCTGCCCCTTCCTGGACATCTCCCTCCCCTGCCACTTCCTGCAGGGCCCTCCTCCCTCGCACTGGTTGCACCTCACTCACCAAAACCACTGCCTCCTCCTCCTCTTCCTCTTCCTCCTCCTCTTCCTCCTCTTCCACTACCGTCACCTGCGCTGTTTCCGCCCCCCTTCTGCTCGCCCTTGTCGCTCTGGTTGCTGCTGCTGGAGCAGTAGCTGCTGCCTTCCTTCCCCTCCTGGTTCGACCCACACTTTCCGTCTCCCCCACGTTTGCACCAGCAGCACCAGGAGTCCCAGCAGCACCAGGAGAACCACCAGCAACAAGAGCAGCAACAGCAGCTAGGCGAGTCACCCTACGCCTCTTCCCCTGAGGTTGCTCCTTCACATCTCCCCGCTTCCGTGCTCCGGCTCTTCCCCTTTCAGTCCTCGCCCCCTCCTCCTCTGCCTCCGCCTCCATCTCCAGTGCTCTGCGCTTTGACCTCAGGGGCCTTTCCTCTGGAATTCCTGACGCACCAGCAGGGCCGGAAGCAGCAGGAGCAACAACAGAAGGTTCACGTGAGCCCCTGGTCTTCCTCCCCTTGCTTTGTCCTTTCTCAGGTGTTATTTCAGGTGATTTGGAAGGGACCTCTGCAGGCGATGCAGACATGGACGCTCTGGTTGGTTTGGGGGCAAACCTGCTTGCTCTTCTGTAAGGTGACTTGGCAGGGGATTTGGCTGGTGAATAGGCAGGTGAATTGGCAGGGGAATCGGCAGGTGAACTTGGAGAGGACTTGGCAGGTGATTTAGCAGGGGTCGTCGTGGCAGGTGATTTGGCAGGGGTCGTAGCAGGTGCTCTGACAGGTGATTCTGCTGCTGCTACCAACACAGCAGCCCCTCTCCCTCCTGCACTGGACCGCCTGGGAGTGACTGACGACTTTTGAGGCACCTCAGGTGTCGCGTGCGTGGGAGTGACTGACAGCCTTTCACTCACTCGTGAACAGCAGGAGAGGCGAGAGGAGGTGGAGGGGAAGGAGCAGTAGGAGTGGGGCGGGGAGGCGGAGTGGAGGCAGGTGAGAGGCGCTTCCCTTCCACTGACAGCCGCCTGGTTAGCACTCGGGGCTTAGCCACTGCTGTGAGCGCATGGCGGGAGGACAGGTGGACCGGTGCCCTGCCTCGGGAAAGAGGGGTCTGAGAGGGACAGGGACACAAGGAGGGGAGGGGAAGAGGACATGAGTCCGGGGAGTGGAAGTAGGATACGGTCTTCTTGTTCAGTAGCTTTCACCTTCACAGCAAAACGCAGTTATACCAGTCAATGAGTTTCACCTTCACAGAACGATGCAGTCTTCTCAATCACTCACTTTTACTCTCCCTGGCGTTGCTGCTGTAGCTGCTTTAGCTGCCCCTCCTGCTCTGCCTGGTGTCGCTGCTTTGCGTGGTGTCCCTGTCTTGACCAGTGTCCCTGCTTTGCCTGGTGTTGCTGCTTCACCCTGTGCCCTCTGCCCTCCCAGCATGAGCCTCACTGGTTTCACCCCCACGCCTTCAGACACACGCCTCGAAAAACTCTTGCTCTTCCTCTTCCCCACTCCTGTTGCCACCCGCCCCACAACCCCAACACCCCCTGCCGCCCCTCTGCCGCCCCGCCTGACCGGCGTCACCCATTTCACCGCCCCTGCCCTCCTCCCTGCTCCTGCCGCCCGCCTGCCCGTCCCGATCATTGCATCCCAAGCACCTCCGATTGCAGCCTTGGCAGCATCCGCCTTCGCATTGCTACGCCCCACACTGCTACTACCCACGGACTGACTCCCAAGGGACCGTCTCTTAGCAGCACTGCCCCCCTCTGCTGCTGCCTCGGCCTGTCTCTTTCTGGGCGTCGCCTTACCAGAACTGAGCCGTGGGCTCTCGGCAGGGCTCGTTTCAGGGATCTTAGCAGCCCTTCTAAGAGGGGTCCTAGCAGGGCACTTAGCGACACTGCCCCCCTCTGCTGCAGCCTCGGCCTGTCTCTTGCTGGGCGTCGCCTTACCAGAACTGAGCCGTGGGCTCTTTGCAGGGCTCGTTTCAGGGATCTTAGCAGCGCTCCTGAGAGGGGTCTTAGCAGGGCTTCTAGCAGCGATCATAGGAGGAGTCCTGGCAGGGGTCTTGGCAGGGCTTTTAGCAGGGGACTTAGCGGCACTCGGGGCAGGGCTCTTGCGAGGGGTTTTGGCGGGGCTGGCAGGGGACATAGGAGGAGTCTTAGCAAGGCTCCTAGCGGCGCTTCTGGCAGCCCTAGCAGGAGGCGTACTAGCAGCATGCTTCGAAGGGGTTCTGGCGGGGCTCTTAGCAGGGGACTTAGCAGGGCTCTTAGCAGGAGACTTAGCAGGGCTCTTAGCAGCACTCCTAGGAGGGGTCTTGGCAGCACCCTTCACAAGCCCTTCAATAGGGCTTGTGGCAGCGCTTGTAGCAGCAGCATGGCTCTTAGCTTCAGGCGTCACAACCTTCCTGCCGCTACGACCAGGGCTCTTGGTTACTGCGGTCCTGGTTACACGTGTTCTGGTTACCGCAGCCGTGGTAACCGGCGTCTTGACTCTGCGGCTCTTGGCTTTTGGAGCAGCGGTGGCAGCTCGTCGCCTTGAGACTGCCACTGGCTTTGCTGCCCGTGGTGTTGCTGCTGCTGGGGTTGCTGCTGCTGGGGTTGCTGCTGCTGGGGTTGCCGCTGCTGGCATTGCTGCCGGCGTTCTTGCTGCTGCGGTGGTCCCAGAGAAGGGCGATGCTGAGGCTGGTACAAACCCAGCGGGCGTAACCGGCGAGCCTGGTGTGATCAGCCCACCAGACGCGGTTACCCCACCAGGTGTGGTGGGGCTGCCAGGCAAAGCACCATCACCCGCTGCACCTACACTCTCAGCCTTTTCTCCTTCCTCTGCTGCAGCCGTGCCAACACTGCCCACTGCCAACTGCTGCTCCACCTCCCCTGCTAACTCCTGCCCTTCCGCCTTGCCCTCACGCGCCACCTCCGCCCCTCCGTCCACTCCTTCTACTCCTTCTCCCCCTCCCGCTGCCCCCTCTGCACCTCCAGCGCCTCCCTTTTCCATCCCTGCCATGCCTTCAACAAACACCGGCTCCTCTACCTCGCTGAAGAACGCCTGGCGTTTCTGCTGCGGCCTGAGGGACGTGGAGCAGAGAAATATAATGCGGAAATTTTATCTATATATATAACTAAAAAGCACACACACGGTCTCCTCTCCTCTGCCTCGCTGAAGAACGCCTGGCACTTCTGCTGCGGCCTGCAAGACATGAACAGGGGAGATACGAAGATGGCTCCTTTCAAATCAAATCAAATGTAAACACGTGTGAAACACGGCATCACTAAGGAACGCCCCAATGCTTCCCAATGACAGAATCACATTTCACCCCATCCCATCGCATCCCACCATACCCCACCCATCCTCAGTGTCACCATCTCACCAGGCATCAACTTCCGCAGCAGCTGCCTTCTCCTCGTCTTGCCCCACCAGCAGCGCCACCACCTCCCACCCACCACGTCCCATCAATCAAAACCCATCCAATCATCCCGCCCCATCCCCTTTCCCAAAAACTCACCAGGCATCAACTTCCGCAGCAGCTGCCTTCTCCTCCTCTTGCCCCACCAGCAGCGCCACCACCTCTCCCTCCTCCAAATCCTCCAAGTCCCCATCCTCGTACCGAACCTTGTACCACCCCTCCTCCCGGTCGTACTCAAACACCCGACCCAGGAACACCACGTCGCCGAACCTCTTCCGAACCAGCTTGCCCAGGTACGGCGCGGCAGAGGGAGGGAGAGGAGTGGGAGCAGGAGAAGGGGTGCGAGTGGGAGCGGCAGGAGGGGTGGGAGTGGGAGCAGCAAGAGGGGTGGGAGCGGGAGCAGCAGGAGGGGTGAGAGTGGCAGCGGCAGGAGGGGTGGGAGTGGTAGCCGTAGGAGGGGTGGGAGTGGCAGCGGTAGGAGGGGTGGGAGTGGCAGCGGCAGGAAGCGGCAAGGCTAAGGGAGTAGTGACGCCGTCCGCTGCAGGTGCAGGAGTGGCGAGGAAGATTGCAGGAGTGGCGGGAGAGGCAGCGGAAGGAGAGGTGGGAGTGGCAGCGGAAAGAGGGGTGGGAGTGGCAGCGGAAGGAGGGGTGGGAGTGGCAGCGGAAGGAGGGGTGGGAGTGGCAGCCGAAGGAAGTGGCGAGGCTAAGGGAGTAGTGACGCCGTCCGCTGCAGGAGCAGGAGTGGCGAAGAGGATTGCAGGAGTGGCGGCGGGGGTGGCAGCAGGAGTAGCGGAGGTGGTAGCAGCAGGAGTGGCGAAGAGGATTGCAGGAGTGGCGGCGGGGGTGGCAGCAGGAGTAGCAGAGGTGGTAGCAGCAGGAGTGGCGAAGAGGATTGCAGGAGTGGCGGAGGGAGTGGCAGCAGAAGTGGCGGCGGGAGTGGCAGCAGGAGTGGCGGCGGGAGTGGCAGCAGGAGTGGCTGCGGGAGTGGCTGCGGGAGTGGCGGAGGGAGTGGCAGCAGGAGGGGTGGAAGAGGGAGCAGCAGGAAGCGGCGAGGCTAAGGGAGTGGTGACGCCGTCCGCTGCAGGTGCACGAGTGGCGAAGAGGATTGCAGGAGTGGCGGAGGGGGTGGGAGCAGGAGTGGCGGTGGCTGTTGTGTTCGGGGTGTCAACAGGAGTGCTGACGGCTGTAGCTGGCGTGCCGACGGCTGTAGCAGGTGTGTCAACGCCCGTCGCAGGTGTGTCAACCCCCCTCGCAGGTGTGCTAACGCCCGTCGCAGGTGTGTCAACCCCCGTCGTAGATATGCTAACACCCGTTGCCGGTGTGCTAACGCCGGACGCAGGTGTTTCAAACTCTAAATTATCAAACATTGAAGCATCGGGGGCGCTAGGCGTAACAGCAGCAGCATCAGCCCAACCAGGAGCCTCGGGTGAAACGTGACCGACAGGGGGAGAGCGAGCATCAGGCGGAGTGGGAAGGGGAGTGCTCGGAAGATTGAAGGTTGAACTCTGACCCTTTCGGGAAAGCTGATCTGCCCCGGTCGACACTTCTGCTGCCGTGTTCAGCCGCTCCTCTCCCCCGTTCTCCTCGTCTTTCACCGATACCCCCGCTTCTGCGCCGGCGCCTTCACCCTGCCCTTGCGCCTCGCCCGCGGTCGTTCCAGCCTCTTCCCCACTCCCCTCCGCGGCCGTTCCCGGCTCTGCCTCCTCCCGCCCCGTGTCGGGAACCGACTGTGCTTCTTCTCGTGCCGTTCCGCTGGCCCGCTGTGAAGCGCCGCCTGCTTCTTCCTCCGCTTTGGCTTCTCCGTTATTAGAAAGTCCAGCTACGGGGAGTTCGTTCTCAGCCGCTGCTGCCGTCCCCGTTATAGCATCATCATGTAAAACGCACTGGTCAGAAGCTTGTACAGTGTTATTCGGCAATTCAGCTGGTACATGGAGAGCAGCAGAGTTAGATGCACGAACGGAATCGCCAGTTGCGTCAATCACGTCAGCGTCAGCAGCATCAGCATCAGCGTCACCATCAGATATGTCCCAGGGATTGCCTTGGTCAGAACGATTAGCAGCGGTACCGGCTTCGCCGTCACCAGCTACAGTAGAAACATTAGCTTCGCCGCCGTCATTTGCCACGTCAGAGATATTATATCCAGTGTCGCCATTGGCTGTAACTATTGGATGATTGGTCCACGTGGCGCCACCTCCTAGCACGTCGTCAGGAAGAGTGGGAGTGCCGAACACGTCATCTGTTGGTAACTCGGTACCCTGGGTACCGCCGGAAAGACCGACAGAAAGACCGCCGGGTACTATTTCCGGGAAATCAGCTGCTTTCGAGAACGAGTCTAGGCTTTGAAACTAAGGGTCCTGCTCTCCTGTGCCTTCAGGATTTTCGGACCCGCCTTCCATTATGACTCCTGTTTCCCGAGAGGGAAACTCGGATGCAAAATAGTGAAGAAAGTAATATATCGAATTAATCTCAATTTTTTATTTTTATTTTTCCAACCGCAGATCAGGTTCCTCGACCAAATGCTGCCGTACGATCAAGGATGGCGCGAAGAGCGCACGAAAGAACGATCGGAGAAAGTAGTCGACAAGAGAGACAAGCGGAGTCCTGCCAATGTCGTCCCTTCAGAAATTATTTTTATGTGTTCTCAGCACCAAGGAGCCTCCTGGTTCAATCGAGCAGCAGAGAGAGCAGTTGGCATTGACTGGTTATGAGGGTATTGGCGGTCTTGTTTGGCATGCAGCAAGGGTGATAACTAACTTGTCCAGGCTTGAAATATCTAAGGGCTCTCCGTAGTTCGCGTCCTTATCGAACAGAGAAAAAAAACATTTGTTGCTGCCGAACGTAGGTGCTCCGTACGTGGTGCCGAGCCTCTGACGGAAACCAGATCTGTCAGACCTCAAGAGTTCTGGCGCGGGGTAAAACTAGTTCGCTATACAGTGCTTCGACACATGATTTCAAGGCAATAAGCATCGTCGCCTAAAAACTACATCTGGAAAATACACTACACATCCAGTTCACGTTCCCTCCCCGCCGTTTCACAACACATCCGAACCAGAGGAGCCGGTGCCTGCTCTCCACAGATTTGCATCTCGGCATCCAACGAAAAATCCTAGTGCTCTCTTGGTTAGCTGCTGTCGTGTCACCACCGCCTGCCACGGATGCATCTCGCGAGGGTGCTCTCCGCCACGTGTCGCAATGCGGTGAAGCAGCGCGGCACCGTGGCGGTACCACCATCGCTGCCCGTAGCACTGCAGCATCAGCGGCGGCACCAGAGCGGGCAGCAGAGCGGGCAGCTGAACGAGCAGCAGAGCGGCCTCGCGGATTTCTTCGAACAGGGTCGCACGCCCGACGCGCCCGTCACCACTGGTACGGCTTACCGCCGTTAGGGATCACCATCGGCAGCATTTACTTAACGGCTCGCAGGGACTGTGTTTCAACGACCGTTGGGTCTGAGGTCTGTGCGATTGACGCGATGCGTGCGGCATGCGGCGACGGGTAGAGACCAATCGCTCGTCCGTACTCCACACCTGCTTTCGCTCCACCTCTCTCCCGTTCCCCCTCCGCTTCCTGACACACAGCCCGAGAATGGTAGGCGTGGGAGCTGGGGCGCACGCGGCCTGCTTTCACCCTACTGCACCATCCCATACCCGGTCCCCCCCTTCAACACGCACAGGGCGGGGATGGCAGCTGTGGGAGCTGCGGCACAAGTCGTTTGAGGACCGGCTTTCACCGCACAGCACTGTTCCATACCCCTCTCCCTCCCCTCAACCCCCACAGGGCGCGGGTGGCAGGCGTGGGAGCTGCGGCACAAGTCGTTCGAGGACCTACACGGGCTGTGGTACGTGCTGCTCAAGGAGAAGAACCTGCTCTACTCGCAGAAACAGATGCTGCAGTCGCAGGGCCGCCGCATGGTGCAGCCGCACCGCATCCGCCTCGTGAGTAGCCCCTCTCGTCCCACCCCTTTCCCCCACCGCATCCTCGTCATTCCCCTTTCCCCCCTCCCCTTTTTTCGCCTCTCCCATCGCATCCCGCTCGTGAGTCCCCTCTCTCTTTATCCTCTCTCGCTCGTTGCTCGCTTCTTGAGGTGTCTCAGAAGCTCTCGCGTGGTGCAGCCCCACTGCATCCGCCTCGTGAGTTCCCCCGCTCTATGCCCCCAGCCCATAGCTTCCCGCCGCATCCCCTTCGTGATGCCCCTCGCTCTTTCTCCCGACCTCTTTTCCCCCCGCACCCCCTCGCCCTTGCCCGCTGCCCCTTCCCTGACTATTACCCCTCTCCTTCTCGCCTGTCCACTGCCCCCTCCTTTCCTATATCCCGTCTCGTCCTCTAACCGCCCGTCCGATCTTCCTCCTTTCCCCTCTCCGTCCTCCTCTCCTCTCTTCCCTCCCTTCTCTCCCCAATACCCTCTCCCCCCTTTCGGCTCCCCTATCAAGGCTGCCTTCCTTGCATTCCGCGGTCCTCATTCCCGCTTTTATGCTGTGAGTGGCATTTAGAAGACTGCATCGTGCTTACCCTGGCCCCTCTCCCATTTGCATTTGCCTGTGCTTATGTGCTCATTTTCCATGTGGCAGGTGAAGGCATCAATGTGTAGAATAAAGCAAGTGCTAACGGAGAGAGCACTCGCTGTAGAGAACCCTGATAAGAGATGGTTTTATAAGAAGATTATCAATGACATGTAGGCTGCTGGTGAGTAAAGGAGCACTCCCCTTTCTTTCTGGTGAATTGCATAGTTTACTCTGAAGTTAGGCTGGGAAAGTGTTGGATGCATTAGAAAGCAATTAGTATTGACTGAACAATAACCAATAACGCGTTTCTCATCAAAGAGGAAATTTGTGCCTCTTTTCACCGAGCGCAACCATTTTTTTCTAGTAAATTACACTAGTCAGGATTCCTGTTCCAACAGAAGCCGAGCACACCGAATTCCCGATCGAATGCAACAGTGATCTATGCTAGAATTTGCCTCGACGCAGATCTCGCGGCCAGTAGTGACGCGATAACTCGTCTCCCCGCGTCCCTCGCCTCTGCCTGCTAAACTTCTCTCCCTCCCTTGCCCGCCGCTTTCCGCCCTTTCCGCCCTTTCCGCCCTTTCCGCCCTTTCCGCCCCTTCCGGCCCCTTTTCCGCCCCTTTTCCGCTCCTGCTGATCAGCGACCGCTGTACGATCAACGCAGCGCAAGCAGCGCATTCCCAATTCAGGAGATCTTCCGGTTAGATCCTCACACCCGTCGTAGGTGCGACAAAACCTTGCAGCGACGGCAAATCAGATGACGCGTCTGAAACAGACGCCTTTGAATCTGATTCAACCATAATAGCCGTCGTCTTGACGCTTCGTCGTTGCTGTAATTGGCTAGTTCAACTCGACCCGCCGCCCCCCCCACCGTCTCCTCCGCGCCACCTCCACGTTTCCCCCGCCGTCTCCCCGTTCCCCCCGCTTTGCCCTTCCGCTGCTCCTCCCCGTTTACCTGTCCCCCCCTGGTCCGCGAACGGGGGGAGCGCGCGATGGCGGCGCAGCGGGCGCCGCCGAGCTTCCGCCTGCGCGCGTACTATGGGATCGACTTCCCGGGAAAGGTGGCGGTGCTGGTGGCGCAGTCGCTGCTCTCCTTCGCGCTCGCCGCAACCCTCTTTGGGCGCTACGCGGCCGCCGTCGCGCTCGTTCGCCGCTTCTGGCCGCTGCTGCCGGCGCAGGTACGCTCGCACTGGTGTTTCGCGGTGAGAATGAGTCAGTCAGTCAATCAGTCAGTCAATCAGTCTGCCAATTGGTCAGGCCGTTGATTCCTCCTCTCTCCCCGCCACCTCCCTCCTTCGCCCCTCCCCCCATCCTCAGCTCGCCAGTTTCCTCGTGGGGTTCTCAGCAGCCTTCTCTCCTCTCCTCGCCTTCGCCTACTCCCTCACCTTCTCTGCCAATCCCCCTGCTGCCTGCTGCTTATCCCCGTCCACGCCAGTCACTCAATCTCCCCTCCCACTCCCCTTCCAATCCCCTCCCCCGCCTTCCCCCATCCGCAGCTCACCAGTTTCCTCGTGGGGTTCTCAGCAGCCTTTGCTCTCCTCCTCGCCTTCGCCTATTCCCTCACCCTCTCAGCCAACCTCCGCACCTCCCTCCTCCTCCGCCCCCGCCTCGCCCGCCACATGCTCGCGCTCGTGCCCGCCTGGCAACCGGTCCGCACCGCTCTGGACCTGGGGAGCGGCCGTGGCGTGCTGCTAGCAAGCCTGGGGCTGCAATTACTGGAGTGTGGCGGGGAGGGGCGGGCGATTGGGTTTGATAGCTGGGAGACCAAGAGCCATGCTGCTGCTGGTGGTGCCAATGGTGGGTTTAAAGGTGGAAGCAGATTGGAAGTGGAACGGAGTAGAGCTTTAAAAGGTGCAGCTGCAGGTACTGGTGATGCTGATGCTGGGGATGGTGTCAGTGGTGGTGCTGCTGCTGATGGGGCTGATGGTGCTAGTGCTGACGTTGGCGCCAGTGGCAGCAGCAGCAGTGGGAGGCACGTGCGGCACAGAAGAGCAGATAAAGCCAAAGCAGACCACCCAGGCAGGAGTGCAGCTGGAGGCACTTCCCCTGGCCATGCTGCTCCTGCTGCTCCAGCGAGCGGGCTAGCAGGCGTGTCAGCGCCAGCAGTGGGAAGCATGGCAGGGGCGCTGAGAGCAGCAGCAAGGGAGGGCGTGGGGGCGCTGGTGACATGCAAGACGGGCGCCTTTGACCGCCTGCCCTTCCCTGACGCCTATTTTGACATCGTTGTCTCTGCTCTTCGGCTCCACGCTATTGCCTCGGTACGCCCCTCCATGCCCCTGCTTGGGTAGCTCGTGCCATGTCTGATGTGCCTTTGACCGCCTGCCCTTCCCTGTCGAATACTTTGACGTCGCTCTCTCTGCTCTCCGCCTGCACGCAAATGCTTCGGTATGCTCCTCCATGCCATTGCCGCCCTACACCCCTCCATGTCATGGCTTCGGTGCTTTCATGCCATGTTTCATGTTCCATCATCCTGCCCCAGGTGCCTTTGACCGCCTGCCCTTCCCTGCACATGGGGCTTAGGGGCTGGCTTGAGTGGTGCAGCAGGGAGTGACAGTGATGGTGTGGGATCCTCACTCCATTCTTTCTCTTCCTCCTTCCTTCTCCCCTTCCCTTGCCCCCTTCCCTTGCCCCCTTACCTTGACCCCTTCTTTCTCCCTCTCTCCCCCCTCCGTGCAGCCACACCCACACGACAGGTGCTAGAGGACTCAGACTCTCAAGCAGCACAGAGGGAGCGGCAGAGGGTGCTGCAGCAGGTGGCGAGAGTGTTCAAGTGCTTAAGCCGGGGGGGAGGGTGCTGGGTGGACTTCTCACTCCCTATATCCCCCCTTCTCCCCTTTTCTTGCCCTCCCACCCACATGACAGGTGCTAGAGGACTCAGACTCTCAAGCAGCAGAGAGGGAGCGGCAGCGGGTGCTGCAGCAGGTGGTTAGAGTGCTGAAACCAGGAGGGAGGGTGATAGTGTGGGATGTATTGCACGTGCCCGCCTATGCAGAGTATTTCAGGTCTCTGGGATGGAAACATGTGGTTGTGACCCCCGGCCCGAATGCTTTCATGCTGCCCTCGCATGTTCTTTCTGCCCGGAAACCGAAATGACCTGTGTACTGTGGTGCTGTAGTGCTTGTGCTGCTGTGGCCGCTGTTGCTTTGCATTGCAACCAATGTTAAGAGATCGGCTTCGGAGAATGAAAAAGAGAGGGCTATTGTTGCTACAGAGGAGGCGAGACAGTGAGGTGCTTGTGTAAGGGGATGCAATGGTGGGTATTGGTTAAGAAACAAAGTGCAGTGCAGTGAGTATGGTGAGGAGGTGGTGGTGAGTGGCAAGCGCAGTCAGAATGGTACTCAAGCCATCAACAGTCGGCACCACCAGAATGGGGAGCCAGAATGGTACTACCTACCAGATGATACAGGGAGAATGGCGTAAGCCAACCGTATCCACATCACTTCACACCGTTTGCAGGTACATACGGTACCGGTAACTTAATAAAGGTGAGTCATCAAAACACTCACTACAAGCAGGCTCAGAGATCAGCAGTGGGAACTGGACACAGAAAACCTTGAAGAACAAAAAAAAAAAGAGCAAGCTACAGGGCAGGGTATGCTGTGTGAGAGGCTCAGGGGCGAATGGCAGGCAACCAGCATGGATGGGAGGGACGGCAGTCAGAATGGTTAACAGATGTGGCGCCAGGCAACTGTGAATGCCGAGTTCATGTCTAGACACGAGCACTGCACACGGTCCGGGAAAGGGGCAGTGCAGAGCCAAGTTCAGCCACCCGAGACAACCCACCACCACCCTGTGCCATGCGTACGTATTGCCCCCTGTCTAAATGAGCAGAATCCAAAATCCCCGTCCCCTGAGAGCCCTGCAGAAGCAGCAGTGTGCAGCTGACCACAAACAGCTTAAGCCGCATTGTGGCCCGTGACCCCATGCACCCTCAGCTTGAGCTGAGGGCTATTGCCCTGCGGTGTGCTGTGCCCGTGTGACCCCATGCAAACCAGGCCTAAGCCGCTCCACAGCACCCTCAGCTTCATGTCAATACCGCCTCAGCACACCCTCAGTGGTACAGCCTGCCTCAGCACAGCCTGCCTCAACACAGCCTGCACGTCTGAACCAGCCAGTTGGATCCGCATACGGCAGACATCCGCCCTCCCATCACCCCCCTATTGAGGCATCTCAAACTCCTCCCTCTCACCACCCCTTTTTTTAAACGCCTCTGCACTCCTCTCCCTCACCACACTCTTTTGAGACGTCTCGGAACGCCGCACGGCCTGCCCAGTCGAATGAGCCATTCCGATACGCACTACAGCCCCAAGTAGCTCTCCTCTAGTCGATCAATAACATCCTCCCTCTCACCACCCCCCATTTAGGACGCCTCAAAACTCAGCAGGGCCTGCCCAGCCGAGTGAGCCACTTCCGATACGCATAAGACAGGTTGAACCAGCTCTCCTCCCTCTCAACAATCCCTGCTGCATTCCCCCCTCCTCTTCCCCCTCCGCTTCCCCCTTCCGCCCCTCCCACTTCTGGAATCGCGAGCTCCGGGAGCGCAGGGCGGGAGGAGAAGAGAGAGGCGCGGGCAGCAGCAGCAGCAGCGGCAATGGGGGACGGCAGGGGCGGGAGAGCACGAGGGGCGGGGCCGGCGTGTTTTGTCCAGAAGGCGATTTGGTACCAGAGGGTGTAGGTGTTGAGCTGCTCGTGTGCGGGCAGGGTGAGCACAAGTTCATTGAATCCGGACACTAGTGCTGTCCGCTCCTCTGGGGTTAGGTCGAAACCTAACAGCTGGTACCGCACCTGCTGCTGCTGCTGCTGCTGCTGCTGGTGCTGCTGGTGGTGTTGGGATTTGGCGTTGGGTGTGCTAGTAGATGCGGGTTGAGCAAGGGTGAATGAAGGGGGTTCTCTGCAGCTACTGCTGCTCCCGTTGCTGCCACCGCGACTGCCAACGGAAGAGCAGATTTCCAGCAGCACGGGCAGCCACAGCCGCACAAACGACACGCGCAGCTGCGGATTCGCTACAAGCCGCTTCGATAGCATTGCAGACATAGTTCCCACTAGTGCTGACTTTACCACGTACAGCGCCCCAGGCGGCACTGGCCCCGCTGACGCTGCTGCCGCCCCCACCCCTACCCCTCCGCTCCCCCCTCCGCTTCCGCTTCCCCCCTGCCCTTTCCCCGGAGTCCCAACACTGTCTAACCCGCCATCCTCCCCCTCCCCCGCCCCGCCCTCCGCGCCCCCCTCATCCTCATTAACAGTATCCAGCCCCTGCGTCGAGAAACTGAAGCTCTTAGCGAATCCCGGACCTACCGCCTGGGCTGCCAGCAGGCCCTCCGAATCGGCAGGCTCGGCCCGAGCCTGCCGCTGCGTCAGGGAGCAGCTCTGCCGAACCTGCGAGACGAACTCGTTATCAGTAGCGAGCCACTTAAAGACCTCGTCCGCCATTGCGAATTCGAGCATCAGCCCTACAAGCCACGTCAGCGCGCCTTGCGCGCCATATACCATCTCCAGCATCCCCTCGTCGTCCCCGCTCAACCCCCCGCCACCCGCGCCTGCCTGCTCCTCCCCCCGCGGGCGCGGGGACGGCGCGGGGGCGTCATGCTGCGCGGCGGGGGAGGCTTCCCCGCGCGCCCCTGCGGGGGATGTGGCGGGGACTGGAAGCGGAGCGTCTCTAGGGGTGCGCGGGGACGGGCTCGGCGCTCCGCCTCCCGCACCCCCCCCTGCTCCCGCTCCCGCCATTGCAGCCGCCGCGGCGCGCGTGCACGACGAGTTTCTACGCTTTAACTCCCGCTGCTCGGACCAAAGGCACTGTAGGAGATCGACGAACGTCTCACTAAGAACAGCCTTTTTAGTCTTAAGACTGAGAGTCGGCTCGTGGCGGTTCCGCAGAATCGCGCTCGCCGCCTCTCGGCACTCAATCGTCCCCGGAGCCACCTCCGCCGCCTTTCCGCCGCCCCTTCCCGTCCCCGCCGCTCCCCGCCCCGCGGACTCTTCCCCCTCCGCCTTCCCCGCGCCCTGGCGGCTGTCGTGAAACGCGACCGCGCGGATGAGCAGGATCCGAAGCGCGTCGGAGATGCTCTCCTCGTCCCACGTGCGCACCGGCAGACGGTCCAGGATCGGCCGCGCGTCCTGCAGATGCTCCAGCTGCGATACCAGCCGTAGGATCTCCTCCAGCTCGTCGTCGTTCCACGGTACAGATTCGAGATAATCCACGCACGCGCTCGTGCACATGTGGAACTGTAGCTCCGAGGAAACTACTAGGGTTTCTAGAACGCGCCATACGGAGCCTAAGCACTGGATCTCGTCGGGTAGTTCCTCCTCTTCAAGGTAGAACATGCGGAAGGTTGACACGTAAGCGTCGGGGTCTGCCACGTGGCCGCTGGCCTGGATCGTGAAGGTGGTCCCCCCGGCGTCGTGCGAGATCGTCGCGCCCTGGATCGGGTCGCGCACGGCGCGCTTCGCGAGCGCGTTGAAGAAATAGTCGCTCTGCTCGCGGAGCACGGAGGTGTGGAGATTAAGAACCGCGTGCAGCTCTCCCTTACGATTTAAGATCTCGATATGGATATCGCTCGTTGGCTCGTCGTTGAAAATCGGAGTGGCGGAGGCGGAGGAGGACGACGAAAGTGTCGTGGGGAGCGGGGGGGGTAAGCATCCCGCTGCGCCTCCACCTGCGCCCGCTGCGCCTGTTGCCGCGGGGTTGCGGAACGGCGGCATGCTCCGCGAGTGCGCGAGGAACTTCGCCGCCGCGTCGGGCGGTTTCGACGGCGACCGCGGCGGCTGCGATTGGCCGTAGAAGTTCTTAAACATTGCGGCTCGCTGGTATCGCGACTCGGGGAAGTACAGAAGGCGCAAATAATCGACTAAGGAGTTACTGATTCAGGTAGCGGTTTAGCGAGGAAATGATGTAAGGTGAACCGGTCTCAGGAAAATATACCATTGGCGAAAGAACAGCGGTGGTTCGCGTCGCAATGGGGCATCAATTAAGGCAAAATAAATAAACACGGCAATTAGGGTTACACTTGGGAGACTTCAACGGAAACTAATTAGGTCTCATTGACGTACAAAAGGACTAAAGAGCTGCGATCTATGACAAAGGTGATGTCCGTACGACTCGAGCGAGCAAGGCAGGAGAAGTGATAGGGAACTACAGGAAGGATGCTAAGTACGGACGAGTAGGAACAACTGAGGTGGGTGGGAGGGAAAAAGCGCGGGAGTTAGTCAGCCATGGCTGAAGGCTGGTGTGGTGTGCGACTCTGGTAAGAGGCGGCGATTTCACGTGATTTGACGTAACGATAAGCGGTTGCTGCAGTTTCTGATGAGCGATGAAAAGTTGGACGACGAAGACTGGCGACTAAATCGGTGCCGCTCTTGTTGAGGCATGAGGTGTTTGTACAACACATAATATCATGATTGAACAATAGACAAAACATTGTTTCAATAATAACTGAAGGGGCATCTACCGAAATTGGTGACAAGCTACTTACGAAAGGGCTGGACAGCTAGCACAGAGCGCACTGAGTGCTTGCCATCACTCCAGACAAGACTGCCGAACACAAAATTAATAGACTGCGTTACCACTTTGAACGTGACTGTATATGTCATCTTGGCTCCTGGTTGAATTGTGAAGGACGAAGGTGCCACCGTTACAGTCACGCCTTTAGGCTGAGAAACCTTTGCTGTGTATGTGCTTGCAGATTTGGCAACATTTGTTACGGTCCGTGTTACCATGGTAGATCCTCTGAGGTTGCTCACAGCAATGTTTGGCTGGTTCAAGTCGTACCTGAAATCAGGAGAGGAGAAAAACAAATGCTATTTGTCAACAATATGACAGAAGAAGACCACAGCAGCATCGGAACAAATCGGACAAGGTAGTGCAGAGGGATAGGACAGGCATGCGCAGAGCAGAGAAACGGCGGAGGGATGAGAAGTGGGGACTCACGGATGG